ATTGTTTGGGAACATGGGTCTCCTGAACTGTAGTAACACTGATGAGCCTTATGGCACATTTAGACATCTTGGTCAACAGAAAGCAAGTTTCTTAAGTTGCATAAAAAATAGTTGAACAAACAATTCTTTTTTTTATGTTACCATATTTACCAGAGTACTGAACGAGTCTTTAAATCATTATAAGGTTATTTCAGTTTTTGTACATGATTTCAAAAACCTCTCACGACTTAAAATTTGGATTTCGTTTTAGTAAGGCATATTTTTTCTGAGGTCTCAGGTTCTCTATTAAATGTTTGTGGTTTTAAATTTCTTTGTTAATAATATTTTTTTTAATACAGTTTTATAAAGCTGAAATTTTTGTGGCTATACTAATCCTATTTAATCCTTTTTTTAGTGTTATGAAATTTTTCATTGTTAAAGGCAGATTGAAAAGATTTAAAATACCAAATAAGATTATTCAACTGACGAAAACTCGCATTTCTTTAAAACACAAGAATCTTAATCTCTAGACCAAATTTTAGTGAAAATTTGATTGTACACACAATCTCCAATAGACTGAGAAAATGTATGAATTTAGATTTGCACATCATCAATGCCTTAATATTCAGCTATTAGTAGAAAATTAATGAGATTTGTTCTATACATGTAGTATGACAAAGATAAAACCATGTACATCAGGTAAAATAATGTCTATTCAGTTTTTCTACTTTAATGTACTTTAAAATTTCCTGCATCATTCATCAGAAACAATTTCAGTTAACATTCTCTTACAGTTTCTGTTGAAAAAAGAATAAGCTAAACCTTATTATCATATTTCACAGTTGGCTAATTTCTATTCATTCATAGCATGGTTACGCATTCCAGCGAATTCAGCAACAATCCTGCCTTGTCATGGTCGAAATATTCGTGGAGCCACTATACATCATTTTAAACACAAAACAAGGTTATGATGTTATATGGTAAAATTGTCATTGTATATATCACTCTGAAAACTATTTAATGTACTTAAAAGCTATAAAAGAAGATTAAAAAGTTTAATATACAATGTATGAAAGATGTTAATATTTTATTTTTTGCCTTTCTCGAGGCTATTTATAAGTTAGTTTTTAAATATTTACCTTATTATGTAAGAGTAAATTTATTTGTAAGCAGTATATAAATTTATACACATGCTACATGTACATGGATGTACCTTACACTTAGCTGCAGAATCAGTCAAAACAAATTTGAATAAGTTCTAACTACATACATAAGGTATGTAATATTATATATCTCGTGTACATGTATAGGCCGAACTGTTGTTGCCAGGTGAATGATACGTTGGCTACTCTAAGAACATTTTGAACAAAAACTTGAAATTCAATGAGACCATTTTTAAAAGAAGAATTTCTTAACACAAGCAAATCCACATTTCTGGGCTAACACTATCCAAACATACAAACTACTTGCTGAGCCTTGGTCAACATTTCTACTGACTGGGGCGGGCAACAGATTATACAAACATTTTAACATCTTACAACCATGTCTTAGTTCACCCAATCAAACAAATCCTACTCTCAAATTTATATTGAACCATTGTAATATTACCACTGCTCAGGGTTTGGGCGATATTCAAGACTTTACAAAATATATACATAAATTCTTAGAAGAGCATAAAAGCGTTAAGTTAATGATTAATAAAAACACATCCTAGATGAATTGTTTCGTTTTAAGTGTTTCTATACAAAAGCTCTATCGTTTATAAAGGAACTTGTACAGATGTACTTGCTGGCAGACTCATGTAAAAAATTATTCTTAGGAATCAAATGAATGAATACCTACTTCATTAGTGGAAGTTAACATACAATCAAAACATTGACAATACTGTAGGGTTTAGTTCTTTATATACAGCATACTTATTTTCCATATAAGATCTGATATTCAAATTAGTTAATTTATCTTTTTCCAAAATCATATGTACATATAGTTATTTTTACTATACATTAAACAATTTGTGTTGAAACTTTTCTGCAACCACAAATGATACAGTATAGTTGAAACTGATTAACCAGCAGTAAAAGCGATTGAAAAAAAAAAATCCTATTTAAAATTCCAATACCATCAAGGGAGCTGTGAATGTTGATATATATGTCCATGCTTTGTCATTGCCATGTGTCACTATGGAACAATATCATGTGTTTTGAACACTGTTGCTCGGATTTATTTATTGAGAGAGAGTGAAATGGAAGTTATATGTCCACTCGACACAACAGGGTTATTTTGGAAGTAACAAACAGTATAACTTTATTATAATAATTCACTTGGACGTACATATAGGGGGCTAAAGAAGTGAGATTATTCATTGGTAGATTATCAAAAAATGCAATTCTTAAGCTATATGTCTCTCCTACTTTGTTTCATGAAGGGTTTGGGAACACTCACAGATGCTTTAATTTTCACAATGGTACTTCTGTATGGTAAACTGTAGGTCAGTAACAATATACACCATAATATTACGATACATTTTGTCTAATAATATGGCGTCATACGATATCTGAAGCCCTGTACATATTGTGATATATTTTTTCAGTTCTGCAAATACCTTATCCTTTAATTATCCAAAACCTCCATAATTTTGTCAACAATTTGATTGTCATTGGTAGACCATGTTTACATAACTAACATGTTCTGGGTATTCACTTTTATTATATGCAAACATTATAAAAAAGCTCTTTTGTTACATCATATCCTTTTGTTCATTTACAAACATTGTTTATACTAGAAAGTATTCATTACTTAAATAAAATATGCATGTACTGCAAACCAGATATTGCAATTTAGTTTTTGACTGCAATGCTCAGCTCTAGTGTACTAATGTATCGAGTTGCATGAAGATGTAAATAAATGTGAAAGCCCTACACTGGCATTGACTATGAAGTATGCAAAAAAAAGAAAAAAAAGTGGCATAGCTAGATCAAATCCCAGAGCAATTTACAATCTGATATTAAATCACATACTCTGGCCCTTTAACATGATGCAGTTGCAATGTCTGTATCTGCTGGTATGTAGTAAAATAATCTACTGTTGATACTACACAAAATAGATATATGAAATAAAAGTCAACTAATACACTTTACATACATGTACCAACCAATTGTATAATGAATTTTGATACTAAAACCAATAAATGCTATTCCTGGCTACATAGATATTTATCACTGTTTTATAATATACAGGTACTATTTTCTATAAAAATAACCTTATAACACTTGAAAACTTTGAAAACATGCACATATTTGGTCACACAAAATATTGCACTTTTTTAAAACCAGAAATAGATGCTTTGAAACTTCTAGTATTGTATTCAACATCACAGAGTGAAATCAGATATGAGTGATAAACATGTTTGATAGTATAATGTACATACATGTATCTAAAATACATCCTATGTTATTATATAGGTTATATATACATTATCTCACCAGTTGCAAAGAATGGAATGACATGTCAACCAGAGTCCACAAAATTGGTCTAAAGTTTCCATAACTCTCCTGTCTTCATTAGCCTAGCCAATGCAAAGTAGGACATTTTTTAAACCTATCATTTCCCTACCCAGTACACCTTTTTAAAAACACTGCCTTCCATTGTCAGGAATCTATTAACACCGTATCTATATATTCCCTTCACCTATGATATGATAAATGATAGTCAAATTCTATCCAAAAGAGAGATAGAGAGAGAAATGGGGTTTAACATCCACTTGACACAAACTAGGTCATTTTGGGACTAACATATGGCTCAATTTTATTTCAACAATTTGCTTGTTCATAGGGGATCTTTAACAGTGGTAGGAAACTGGAAGACCCGTAGAGAAACCCCACAAGGTTGGAGAGGCGACCCTTCTCCTTGTCACGTACAGCCGGGGCTATCCAAAAGAAGTTCAAAGAAATGCCTCTAGTAAGTTCTTGGCAAAACGTTTGTATTATCCGTAATAAAATTGACTAAAATCTAAACGTGGTAAATCAGCTATATTGCCAACATTAGATACCTGAAGACAGTACCAAATTTTTGCAGTTGCAACTTTTAACCCTAGTTTTTAATAATATAAAATCAGGAAGATTTGCAGGTAATTGATGATTTGATTGTTGCAATGGATATTACTGACTAGCATGTATTTTTATGTGAGTATTATGAATCGTAACATAGTTTAACCTTTATACACACTAAAAAATCAAGATATACCACAAGAATATTGAATAAATGCCATTATATTAACATTGTCTGTCTACAATAATATATATTTCTTAATGAAATGTATAACATATACAATTTCTGTTTTTATAGACTATATAACATTTACATATATCTCGATGATTTGATATATAAACTAATGACACATTCAAGAATGGTCATTTACATGTATTGTTCACCAATATCATATCTACTATATCACACTGTTCCTATGGCATTTTGTTACCCAGGATAGACAACACTGTACAAGTTTCGGGCAGAAACACAGTAAATGTAAAACAAATGCCCTACTGACTGAGAACAACGAAAAACTTCTGTGCAACTTAGGTTTGTAATATCCAATGCAAGAAGCTCTCTAGTCTAAATAAAATATACTTAGCTCACCATTCGAAAGGGTGAAAGTATAAAATGAGCATAATACACACACAGGATGAACGATCGTGCAAACTTTCTCTATCACTTGTCAGAATAACAAGTTTCATCGGTCAGTACTCCTGTTTAAAATTATTATTATTAAATATATTTCACTAACAACATATCAACAATATACATGTTATATTTACCATATGAAATGTGTGTATATAAATCCGTGCCGTATTTAGTCCATAGGTATAATAACACTCACTGAATTCTGCCCCGTATATCAGCAGTACACACACAAAGCGAGATTTTGAACTCCAGTCAGACCGTCAATGGCCGTGCTTCGGAATGTGCAGTAAACAAGCTTCAAATAATCCACACATTGAAGGATATAAATATTATCAACTTACCCCCCGTTCACAGTTAGGGAACTACTGCTTCCCTGTCCGAAACTTGAAGTTATGATCTATTTTTCTACCAGCCAAGCAATTCATAAGTTGCTCGTTCAAAGATGGCGGTGAAATCCGACGACTGACGTAATTGCCCGAGACATATGCGGTGAGGAGTCCCCGGAAATTACCGACTGACCCTCGATAACAAAAAGCCCGCGAAATAGTCACACATGGCTTGTCACAAAGACGCGCTATTGGATGTTTAGAGTTATTGTAAGGGATTTCTTTTCAAAACATCTTTAGCTGTGATAACTCTAAGCCGACCAAGTCCCATCAGTGATGGATTAAACACATTGTTGTGGAGGATGACTTTGAAAATTTAATCGCTTGGCTTCATTATTTTAATCATGAAAATTCTGAATCTTTTGGCTAGTTTTCAATTTTGTTGTAAGGTTCAATGAATATTAACGTTTTTTTTTTAGATTTTCTAAGACCTTCAAGAAAAAAATCAAGAATTAGAAGCCTTTTGAATTTTTTTTTTTTTAAAAAAAGAACATTTTGTCAAGAATATCGTTAATTGATTGGCAACGAGTAAAATGAATGAAAACATAATTATGAAGTTTGTTACTAAGAAATGGTTTTGATATGGCTTGGATCAATTTTGTAAATAAAGCTTATACGGACGCCTTTCAAAGGCCTACAAGTTTCTTTTATTGAATAAGTAGAAACGATGATAATGTATACTATATATAGGGCAGATGCGTATCAGGAAAAAATGGAGGGGATGTATTAATCATTGTTCGTAGAGATGTAGGGTTATTTGTCTTCTTGGGCAATGCAATTTAATTCAAATTACACCATTTTGTACTTCACAATCACATCAATCAAAAGTTCGAGCTTTAAAGATAAATCGCCGATTCATGGCTCCCTTTTATTACTCTCATTCATAACTTTATGCCTCTGACTCAATGGGCCACGTGAGTCTCTCGCGTGCACGAGCATCCCCGCAGGGCACCTGTTTAGGTTTAGAAATGTTTGGTTGCCATAGTGAAGGGACAGGTGCATATTTTGTTGAGCATTTTTCTAGACATGTCGAGGAATTCGTGAGATTTGATTGGTCCATGGGCAATTTTGTATTTCACGTCTGCGTTTCGATCCGGGAACTTTGTTTGAAAAGACTCGATGCCTCCTTGTTCAAATTTTCTTTTTCTGCTTTCTCGCCTCTCACTTGTTTTCTCGAACATGCGACGTTTGAACAGAACCTAGTTGAGATCGATAAGGATATAGTTAAGGACAATGTAAGAGTGAGAAAATGAAACATGAGCCACATGAAGTTTTTAATCGATATAATATCAACATCGTAATATTTTCTACACGGCATCAATAAAACTTTTATTATTTCAACAAACACAAGAAACTATCGTTTTGCCCATGGCATTGTTATGATGAAATGTTTCTTATCCGAATGCAGGCTTCCTACAGCACACCTTTATTTCCTACTATTTATGTCGATATTATACAAGACAGAAATAGAAACCTTCGTATCTAATGTATTGTGCTAGGTCTGCTATTTACGATATTGGGATAATACGAAAAGAAATGAAATATGGTTTGAACGCCTTAACATTTTTGCACAGCACTAACCGGGGTAATGAAGAGTGGAGACGAGCATACGCCATATAATATATATCTTCAAAATATAAGAAAGTTTTAAGGATCTTTAATAACATAATATTTATAGATATTTAATAACATGATATTTAAAGATCCTTTTAATAACATGATATTTAAAGATCTTTTTAATAACATGATATTTAAAGATCTTTTTAATAACATGATATTTAAAGATCTTTTTAATAACATGATATTTAATATATAGCATGGTATTTAAAGATATTTAATAACACGATATTTAAAGATATTTAATAACACGATATTTAACGAAATTTAATAACACGATATTTAAAGATATTTAATAACATGATATTTAAAGATATTTAATAGCATGAACAGATTGAGTCGGACATGTTGCCGTTTTATCGTTACACGTGGATTGGGGAGGAAAATTGGTCAGGGCAGTCATTTTGCATAATATTATAGGCTATTCCGATTTTCCATATATTCTGTTACAGTTTTGAAGTGTTGTATTTTGCGTTTACACAAAAAATGTGTCCTGGAATAAAAACTTCTAGGCGAATTTGGTATCAGGTGTTCTACATGTAGTAAGTAGACCTAGACGAGGCCTCATTCATGACAGTCGATCTTTTACACGCACTAAATGTTCGTACACGGGACCGGGGTTTTGTCCAAACAACATAGAAACACATTCCCCGTCAGTCCCAAAGGCGCCACTCCTGAACAGTTAGATACGGACTTGAAACATCTCGAGATTTATCATATGAAATATTATATATGTGACATTCTGTTTTCCGGTTTCCGATTAATTTTAACGTTTGGTAATATATATTTTGTCGTTTAATGTCAGTGGAGTTATTTATTAACTTCAGGTATATGGATAAAAATTAAATAAATATTAAAATGAGGTTAACGTCTTACTGTTCTGCTCCGACTGGGCTAATGAAGACGGGCATACGCCATTCAGTGTGCAATGAGAGAAATCTGCCTAGACAAATATCGAATTCCAACTTCCAGGGGATCTTTTTCGTGCGCACCATGTGTATAATTTGAAGGAGGCATAAACAGGAGTTATTGTTTATTACAAATTTAACAAATTTTGACTTGGTTTTATTCTGAAGCATATTAACATGTTTAAATACAAGAACTTTTTTTATGCCCCCTTCATATTATAAATACAGGAGGTTCAGTTTCAATTAATCAAACAAATGACTAAAGCTTCAAGTGGTCATAAATCGAAGTCACTAATAAAGTGTGAAGCCAGCGTTACTTAAAGTTGAACAATGTAAACTTTTATTAAAAACAATTTAACCACAAGTAGAAATAACAAAATAACAAGATTGTACACTGTTCAAATAAACTTTACTCTCAGTTTAATTAGAGGCGGAACAATTAACGACTTAACGATATAATTATCGCCTGTCCATTTCCTTTGATCAATCAGCAAGCCGCTAGTTAATGACTTCCATCTATGAAAATTGAATTTTACTGAACTTAAATGGGCATGTCATATTTCTCTATTAGGCCTTGTTTTAAGTGTAGGAATTTTCTTTAATAGCTTTAATGGGGAATATTTATTAAGATGTTACTCTATGTAGGCATTCGATCGCTATGTACGTACTGATGATATATTGTATTATAATTAATATACAATGTAATTGGGCTCTTAGTAGATTCAAAAAAGGGAACAGCGTCTAGTTGTTCGGATAATATGGAAACTGGGGTCCAGTGAAAGAACCCTTGAATGTAATTCGACGTAAGAGTATAGACTCCATTGTATGGGCAAAATTTCCCTCATAACACACTACACGACTAGAAATGGTTCCACTACCGATGTCTTCCACCTTGATTCAGCCACAGTAGTGGATCGTTGTAAGGGCTACCTTTGAGCAAGTGTTTTAGTCATTTGACGACAAATAAGTTACTGGCTAGTTTTAACTCCCTTATTATTTATAATTAAACTGACACCACACTGTACCGCACATAGCTTAACATGTAATAAACCAATTCCCATTGAAATAAAGGTGTACCTTTCAACATAAATCCATAAATTCAATAAAATCCAACAGCTCCGCCATATTTCTGTCGTTTTTAAAATGACCGCCGAACCAGAATTAAAACACACGTGATTTCACGTCACCTCGAAAACATAGAAAAAGTGTTTGCTAAGATAGGATTAAGACTTCAGTGTTCCACTCTTCAATATTTGTAACATAATTACTTATTTCCTGTGATGATATATGTTGAAAATTGCGCTATTTTTACATGAGCAGAGGTTCGCAAATGGTAGTACCACCGGTACAAATATTGCAGCTAACTGCATAACGTATGCTTTGTCTTATTAGTATTGTGGCTGATTGATATCATGTCGTGATGTCGGGGTGTCGCCCTGGCGACACCACGGCATCACGACGTTTTAACACGACAACTCGACATTACGACAGCACGATATTTTAACCCGACAATACGACATTTTCACCCGACACCACGATATCAACAATGTTGTAAAGTCGCGTACAAATATCATATTGGTGGGTTCAAATGTCGTGATGTCGGGTTATCGTGTTATCGCGGTGGATCGTGGCATTTCTTGATCGAATTTCAACTGTGAAGGATTCTTTCTTGTGCATGCAAATGTGTACACAGGTGCTTTTTTGTCCCATCTACAATACTAGACACCGTTCTTTGCCAGGCCCTTTGTCCTGCACTACCGATATGGAGAAACCACGCTGCAAAATCCCAGAGAACTTTGATACCAACACCAGGACTAGTGTACATAATCGAGGGAATATGGTCGATAACCTGACACCACGACAACCCGACATCACGACAACCCGACACCACGACAACGTGACATCACGACACCACGACAACACGACATCTCGACATTTTAACCCGACAATACGACATTTTTACGCGACCTTACGACCTCGGGTTGTCGTGATGTTGGGTTAAAATGTCGTGATGTCGAGTTGTCGGCTTATGAAGGGCGACACCACGACATCTCGACATGATACCAATCAGCCACCATATATTAGCCTGTTTGGTGCAGAAAGACAGAACGTTAAAGCCCATTTCATTTCGGTTCTTTGTACGTAGTTCTTTGTATTGTAGAGACCTTAATATTGCATAAAAAAACATTATACAAGATTAAGTCCATACATGAACAATAAAGTGTACAGAAAACAAACATAGTTGTAGGAAGACAAATATTACAATAACATGCATTTTAATAGTTCTACTTTTTAATAATATAACAGTATTTTCAATTGTTGGGTCAGTTAATTAAAAAGCGGTTGTATTTTCTGTGTCCTTTTTCTGTGACAAAGATAAACTCTTCAGTTATTTTTACATTGCCAGGGCAGTAGTATTTTCAACTTGTAATATATATGTACCCTACCTATACCGCTATGAACTTAGTTTCGAGCGGGTACCCATGTCATACACCTGATTTGACTATATTTACAGCTATCTGCTCACACACATGTTAGAGAACTTTCAGGTGTTTGGAATGTCGATAATTA